CGGTTGGTGACCAAATTCGTAGGCGTCAGAACGGATTAACCGTATTTACATTGAACCTTATGGGAAAATTTGATTGTCGCGACCAAAATCGGTTGGTGACCAAATTCGTAGGCGTCAGAACGGATTAACCGTATTTACATTGAACCTTATGGGAAACTTTGATTCGGGTTGCGACCAATTCGGGTTGCGACCAGAGTCATGGAACAAATTAAATTCGTGACCCGAGGTACCACTGTACTACAAAGCTCTGCATGGCATAGGACCCAGTTATTTGAGGAACCACCTTTCTCCCATGATTTCTGCCCAACCAGTATGATCCAGCAAAGTGGGTATGCTTTGGGTCCCCTCAATTATCATTTTACCAGTTATCATCTTTCAGGACCCAGAAAGTACATCTTACTGTAGTGACACCATCCCTCTGGAATGAGACTCCTGATATTCATGTGGCTCCTACCCTAAAGGCACTTTTGAAAGCTTTAAAGATCTTTTGTTCCCCCTAGACCTTGGGTTAGGGTATTTGGGACCCCTCTAGGATTTGTCTGGGGAAGTGATATTGTTAGCTGGACTTGCTATTGGTTCTTGTTCTTTATTTCTTGTCTTATTCCTTTTCTTTTATAATTTTACTATACTGTATTTTCTATTTTGTTTGGTTTTATTGTACTCTACCGAGAATCAGTTTGAAGTTGGAGAGTGCTTAAATTAATTAAATCAATTTAATTAAAATAACTGCAGATTTCCTAGTAAAGGCCATCCACCCAGCAAACAGAGGAGCATCATTATATCAAGCTGATATTAGTGGACTGCCTAGACTGGGGTAGATGACGATGACGATGATGACAACAAATATTACTCTTATTCACAATGAAAAAGTAATCCCTTTCATAAAGGAAAAGTATATGCCAAAGCAATACAACTATGCAATACCTTAAAAATAGATAATAGTTACCGGATGTGCTTAAGAAGCGTGAGCAGAATGTGGAGAAATTCATTAATAAGCTGGATGGGAAGGAATTTCTGCTTCTCTTTTAACTCCGGCTTGCTAGATGAGCTGAGTGAAGTTTGCTTATTTCCCAAATTAGTTATCCAGAGAGTGCGGACTAAGGAGATTATACGTATTAACAACTTGTTTTCTAGAAACCTAGAAATAAAAAGACATTATTTTGTACAAGTCTTTGGGGAAAACATTTATTTTATTAGTACATTTATGAAATGCCATGAGGTACTTCATAAAAAACGGTATTTTTTTTACAAACTGACAGAATAGTTGGAAATGGAAAGGTAACGTTTGAATCCAATTTTCTTTCATTTATACAAGTTTACCGTGAGCTCTTATGGTTTGGTTTAAAAAATCTTTGGTAATTTGGTTAAAAAATTACTCACAAGCATAGTAACATCCAGGATAATACAACAGTAGTTACCACAGTTACTTTTATATCAATTATACAATATCAAATTCTTCAGAATCTCTTACCAAACAAAACTTTGAATAGAACTATTGCTTTGCTAAATGAAGGTCTGAACCTGTTCAGTTTTGTTTTTAAAATAGGTGGCATATTTTGAACTGAGCTTGTATTTACCTCTGGAAGTATTTAAGCTTTTAATAAGCCTTACCAAGTCATGAATATTGATAAGTAACATGAATATCAAATATATTCATGTTACTTACCAAGTAAGTAACCATGTAATGTCCCCTGAACTAATGTATAAATAAATTGTAAAGGGTTTATCTTATTGCATACTAGATTCTTTATAAACAAATCTTAATCCCTTACTAACTCTGTTGTATTACTTGAAATATGAAAAAAAAACCCATCCCTGCTTAGCACAGAGGCCTGAAGAGTTTCCTGTGTACCTTTTCTCAACAACAGGTAACAGCCAAGTTAAAAGGCTATGATCTCTGATTAGTTCATAAGCAGCTTTAGTGATGTATGCAGCATTTTGAAGTATTTCCAGAATCTGATACTGAAAGGCAAAACAAAGCAAAACAATACCATTAATAAAAGATGATAAAAAGGAGTTTTCTAGCACTGTTACAGATTAGGATAGTATCTAATGAATTAATAACCATGGCTAGAATTCAGCCCTACTTATGAGTTTGGAAAAACACTAATTATCATGTTATCTGTGTTCATATATTATCACACTCCATAGGGAGAAAGAACATAAAGTGATGGTCCTGCAGTTGTTACAGAGTTCTTTAAATTTTCCAGGTTGAGCTTCAGTTGTGGGAGCAAGCACAAAGTAAAGAGAAGCCAATATAGGGCAACTGGGTAATGATATGCAAGAATCTAGGATAATGAATGGTCAGGTAGACCACAACAGGTTGAAAAATGTGTTTGTGTGTACCTGCACATGTTGATACAGTGGAGCAAAAAAGTATTTAGTCAGCCACCAATTGTGCAAGTTCTCCCACTTAAAAAGATGAGAGAGGCCTGTAATTTTCATCATAGGTATACCTCAACTATGAGAGACAAAATGAGAAAAAAAATCCAGAAAATCACATTGTCTGATTTTTAAAGAATTTATTTGCAAATCTTTGGTTTCATCTGACCATATGACATTCTCCCAATCCTCTTCTGGATCATCCTTTGGTTTCATCTGACCATATGACATTCTCCCAATCCTCTTCTGGATCATCCTTTGGTTTCATCTGACCATATGACATTCTCCCAATCCTCTTCTGGATCATCCTTTGGTTTCATCTGACCATATGACATTCTCCCAATCCTCTTCTGGATCATCCTTTGGTTTCATCTGACCATATGACATTCTCCCAATCCTCTTCTGGATCATCCTTTGGTTTCATCTGACCATATGACATTCTCCCAATCCTCTTCTGGATCATCCTTTGGTTTCATCTGACCATATGACATTCTCCCAATCCTCTTCTGGATCATCCTTTGGTTTCATCTGACCATATGACATTCTCCCAATCCTCTTCTGGATCATCCTTTGGTTTCATCTGACCATATGACATTCTCCCAATCCTCTTCTGGATCATCCTTTGGTTTCATCTGACCATATGACATTCTCCCAATCCTCTTCTGGATCATCCTTTGGTTTCATCTGACCATATGACATTCTCCCAATCCTCTTCTGGATCATCCTTTGGTTTCATCTGACCATATGACATTCTCCCAATCCTCTTCTGGATCATCCTTGCACAATTGGTGGCTGACTAAATACTTTTTTGCCCCACTATATATGCATGTCAGACTAGGCTTTCTGGAGGAGCTTCTGTTTCCTGGGGTACTTGTGTGTCCACGCAGATTCCATGGCATACTTGAATACACAGTTTACAGCATCATAAAACAAAAAATGCAAGGGACAATAAATACCAGCATGCATTTTCTATATTTTCACTGAAATCTGAAGGCTGCATTCAATTATATACTTCTGCTTATGGCAGCTTCTTGCTCCAAAAGGGGCTCCTGCAAACAGGAGTGGAAAGGAGGTAATATTTCAAACTTCCTTCTTTCTCCTGCTGGCCTCTCTCTACCATCTTCCACAGTATTTCATAGAAACTGCAACCCTCTGCAGCAGAGTTGAAAATCTCTGCTGGGCTGAAAAATCCAAGGAGACACAACTGGCTGCCACAATATTTGATAAGTCTCTTGATTTTTTTGCTTCAAATGTTACATTTATTACAGAATGTATAGACAAACTTCCAATTTATACTGACAAAATCAGACTGACATCTTGGGATAAAAGTGTAAATACCACTCCAGCTCTGAATGAAAAGTTTTCAGTTTTAGAAGAGTTTTACCTGTGTTGCTTCATCACACAATGGGCTATGGAAGAAGGACAGAATGACATGGAAAATTCTTTGATAATCATACAGTTCATAGCAGTTTTTATCTCTGAGACCGTCTCCAATAATTGCTAGAACCCATTCACGCTCCATTTTGTGCTAGAAAACACATAAAGTGCCATAAAAAAATCAAGCAAAATTACATCATAGTTCTTTTCAATATGCAGAGAATGATATGAGTCCAAGTAATAGATGTGCTTCAAAAAAGGGACAAAAAAATAAAAATCTTTAAGCTTCAAACTGAACCATAAAACCTAAATTCCAGATATGCTAGCAGGTGTTTTTTTTTTTACTCACAATTCAGTGATGTAGTACTTAACCTTCATCCAATTTTACCTTTCTTTGAATCAGCAGATTCAACTCAATAAACATTAGCCCTCCATAAAGACCATTCAAAGACTTTTATAATAATTCTGCACTTAACATATGATAAAATTAAAACTATTATGTATCAGAAATTCACCTTTGATTGCATGTGGATACAAATCAGTGTTACAAATTTTTCTTATCTGCGATAAACACGCACAAGTTGCACAGGTTTTTCAGGATGAGAACTTTCTGGAGAATATACTTAAAATGGCAATACAGCAGCAGAAAAGTAGTTGAGTGGTAATATCTGAGCAATGGAGCACAAGAGGACAAAAAACAAGATAGCTACGCTGGACACAAAATCTCCATATTTGTTTCTTTACCTCTAAATCAAAACTGTAGAAAAGGTGAAAAAATCCTGGCACTTTCCTCAGATCCAAATACTGATGGGATAGAAGGAATCTGTTCAGCTTTGTGTACATATGTTCCTCTGTAAAAACAACAACACATAATTGAATATTATAGCATGAAAAAAGACTGCATATTTTCATGTTCATTATAAAGCACATTACAGAGTTTCATCTATTTTATGTTCTCATCTTAAAAACAAAGAATCTCTTCATGCATAAAAAAATCTGAAACTTGTAATACAAATCACAGGTATCAACTGTCATTTTCATTTTCTTAATTTGTTTTGTCGTACATATACTTTAATATTACTTAACATAGAATTACACTTCCCTGTATCTCTCCCTACCCCTTTATCCCACGGAGCCATTATCACATGGATATCTCAAATGGAGAATGGCCATTTGCCCCACATTCTTCATTGTGAATTTCAAACATTTCCATTGTTTTATGAAACAGGAAAATCATAGACAGGAATTCTGCAAAGTTCTATTGTACCTGGCTTCAGTATTTGTTGGGCAACTCTAGATATATATAGTGTTAAGGGGAAAGTAAATCTGAGGTTTGGTTGTTTAATTCCATTTTGCACAACATCCATAAGATACAGCAACTACAAGAAAGAGAAAAAAAGAATCAATTGGAAAACCGATTTTTAAAAATTCCACTTTGGAACTTTAATTGCACTCACAAAACTATTTTTCATAGAACAATCATCTTTTTTTTCCTCTAGAGGTACTTATCATAATCTCTGACTAACACACTCAACTAAAACCAAAGAATCTGAATGTTACAAGATAAATATGGAGGCATAATAAAATAGAAATTACTACCTGTATAAACCTTATCTAAAATTGCATAAAAGATATTAATCCATACTTGGATTCACTTATCTGTTGATTCATACAGAACCTTGACTTTCAAGAAGTCAGACAAATAACATAATGCCCTGAAAACATTTACATATTTGACAGAGAAAAATAAGCATCTTGAGTCGTGATTCCAGAATGCACTTAGTTTAAAAATTTAATGCCCAAGTATTCTACAGATCCCATATAAATTACTGGAATAGTAATTTCATTTTAATCCAGCAAATTTTGTTCTTATGTTAAGTGGTACAAAGGTTAACTCATCCTTACCTGTTTCTGTTCTCGAAATCGAGCTGCTTCCAGGTGAGAGCGAAAGGAACTCAGGACATAGTAAGCAGCTGCACGCATGTTACTGTCATAGCTGCTAAGGGCAGCTACTGTCAGGCCCAATGCATTGACTTCAACAAACTTTTGACATGCCACAACACATTCTAGATAGCAGGAAGAAAATATGCATTTGTAATGAGAAGAAGCTCTTTTAAAAGATAACTTAAGAAAATAAAATCTGGATGTACAAATTGAAATCACAGTAATCACTGGCAGAATTAATGAGTGCCTGGTTAGAAAAAAGGTCTTCTCCGTTGCCCTCTCCTGTGTGAAGCTGAAACCCACTGAATTGCCTTTATGTCAGCTAATGTTCTCCTCACACATAAGGAACTCTACTGCACCCTTTCTAATGGATTCTACATTCTGGCATAAATACCATTTTTCCTCCCTTTCATTCTGCTCACCTCTATCAGGATGCATATTCATGGTTAGTAAGAACAGATTAGTTACCTTTTGTCACACTTTTGTATGTATCCTGTGGTAATTAGCACTGTTTTCAGGGAAGGATTTGTATTTTTATTCCATCAGTTCACATACAGTATGTTTGTGAAGCAGTAAGTCTAATGAAAACACTGCAATTGTGAAGACAGAGCCAGAAGGAAAAGCTGTTCTAGTTAATCCCCCATCCAGTTCTATTTTATAAAAAGATACATTCTATCAAGGATAAAACCTTGCTTTTTATGGGCAAGGCCTACATGAACTTTCTGAAGATTAATCTGAAAATAGGTCTAGGACATATCAAAGAAACATTTACAAAAAGACCTGACCTTGCAAACTGGAATCAGTTGCCAACGTAGTTTTAATTTATGTTGGACACAGAGCTTATTTACAGAACCTTGGAAAGATGGCTGTTAAGCAAACAATTGCTGAGACAATAATCAGTTCTAGAAACTGCCATGTCTTTCTCTTTTTTGGGTAATATGGAGAAAAATAGTGAGAATTATTAACCATTTGCTCCATGCTGCTGTTATAACACCATGAAAAATGAATTTGGCCCATCTACTAAAATAGTTAAGGATGCTCAACTGTCCTGCAGAGTTCTATAGTCAAAAAATTCTTGGAGGTAGCATGCTTTAAAAATGTATCTGCAGGATGAAAGGAAGCCTTATGGCATGCAGGACATATGATGGAATATTCAGTTTGAACAGCATAGAGAAGATGCCAACAAAAACACAAAGGAATCTAAGCAAGGCCTGTGGAAAAGAAGATGCAGCTGAGATGTTGGGAAGTCACTTCTAAATTTGACAAGAAGAAAATACTTGAGACAAAAACAATGGTACTCTGAGCTAGAAAAAAATACGTTTTTCAGTACTAAGTATCCTGGGGGCAAAGGAAAGGCCCCTTCCCCCCCAGTTTTCTTGCATAGGGCGAGAAGAGATACAACCAACACTGGGAGTGGCTGGCGCCTTGAAGATGCTCTCTGAGTTTATTAGCACCTAATTAACATCAATTTGAAAAATAAATAAATAAATAAATAGCTAGCTAGCTAGCTAGCCAGCCAAAGCCTACAATAATGATATCCAACACACCAGGCAAAAAACAAGGAATCGAGAATATAGATAAGGAGATAGTAAATCACCAAAGAAAACAGAACATCATTCTGTTTAGGGAAAATGCAACCTCATGTGTATTTCTCCATGCATCTAATGAACTTTTCTCAGATTTAGAGCCACCCTTCAGTGGCATGTAGGATCTACCCTCCAAAAAGTAGGTTGGGCTGGAAAAAAAAAAAAAAAAAAAGGTAGAACTGAAAGAAAAATGGAATTGGATTCCATTTAAATATAATTATAATGATGAAATTACTTAAATTCATAAAGGATTTCTCATCTATTAAGTATTTTCTCTCTTTTCTATGAACCCAAAATAATTGAGTGACTTTCCTTCTAGGACTTTTGGGGTGAAATACAGCCTTAAGACCTCAGGTTCAGCACTCATAACACTATCCCCTTCTGCCCCCTTGCTCTCTGTTAAAAATCAGCCAGTGTCCTTGAATGGATGATAAAAAAAAAAAACTGCTAAGGTAGCTTGATTCATTCTGTGATATATTCATTTTAAAATTATTGTTGAAAACACAAAAGTGCCATTTTGCTTAGCTATTTTTTATCTCTGCTCATTAAAGCCAATAACTCTCTTTCAAAGCAATCAAATTTCTGTTTTAGATGTTACTGATGCTGGATAAGTAAAACCCAGACGTCATTTACCCTGAGGAGAATATGAAGGGACAGCTGGAAAATTTTCTCAAACCTGAATCAATTTAAAAAAAAATCAGAAAAGGAAACATAAATCCCCTTAGGCAATAAATTTGAAACAGGCACTTCAGAAAAACTCCAAATCAAACTCCAAAATCAAATTCATGCTAACCAAGAAAAGGGTTTGATTTAGCGGGTTTTCTGGTCGAAGCCCCTAAGTTCTTGTGAAAGATCCCATTTTAAGACCTCATGAGTTCAGAACTGATACACACTTCCCCAACCTAGGACTCTCCCAAAATGCTGATACTGCAACTCCTAAAATGGCCAGTCTCTGGCCCAGACTGGGAAAGACTGCTCCAACGGTTCATATTGAATGCTCCCAGACAATGCAAGACAACCATTTCACATACCTGGTCTTAACAATTCACTGAATAGCTGAAGGAGAAAACAAGGATCATAGAGATCTTCAAGAGCCATTTCACTTTTTCCTTTGCTTTGGAATATATGTTCTTCCTAAAATGTAAAACATAAAAGGATGCATGCCTGAATTTCAATTTGTATCTTGGACTCGGTTGTTTTTTCACAGAACCTATCATGCAAGCCCTGGAAAATATACTGTAAACTTAGAAGTTACTGCTACATGTTGGCTTGATTCTCTTTCTTTCTTTCTTTCTTTCTTTCTTTCTTTCTTTCTTTCTTTCTTTCTTTCTTCCTTTCTTCCTCTTTCTTCCTTCCTTCCTGCCTTCCTTCCTTCCTTCCTCCCTTCCTTCCTTCCTTCCTCCCTTCCTTCCTTCCTTCCTCCCTTCCTTCCTTCCTTCCTCCCTTCCTTCCTTCCTTCCTCCCTTCCTTCCTTCCTTCCTCCCTTCCTTCCTTCCTTCCTCCCTTCCTTCCTTCCTTCCTCCCTTCCTTCCTTCCTTCCTCCCTTCCTTCCTTCCTTCCTCCCTTCCTTCCTTCCTTCCTCCCTTCCTTCCTTCCTTCCTCCCTTCCTTCCTTCCTTCCTTCCTTCCTTCCTTCCTTCCTTCCTTCCTTCCTTCCCATTCTCTCTCTCTCTCTCTTTTCTTTTTGCAAAAATATGTTTTAACTGTTTCCTCAATAGTCAGCTCAAAACAAAATAACAGACTCTGAACTGGGATCTGGTGGTTAATCCCTGAGTATCAAGTAAAATTATATATAAAAAAGATAGAAATCTGCAGTTAGGCCAAGGCACCTCAGGGGAGAGAAGATGCCGATGCTGGGGGAAGTGGAGTATGGTCCTCATCATTATTTCTCGATCCAGCAGGGACATAATTTCTTGCATGCTCGGTTGCTGCCAAAGTGACTTCCCCAAACTTTTGCATGTCTTATGATGCTCCACAGCAGCTGGTCCCCAAAGCAATATTCTAGAATTGTATCAGGAGAAAAACATGTATTTTTTGATGTTGTACTTGAAGAGAAGGCAGCAATTAAAGAAATTAATTTGACTTATTAACAGTAGAACAAGGTTAACTTTTCCCTTCACTTCTTACAAGAACGCAAAGCCAGAATGTATTTCCTTTCCCTTCCCAAGCAATTTCAAACAAAATTAAACCATTATGAAATGACATTTACTCCACTGTGTTCATTTTACTAAGTCCCAGAGAGATGATCACCGTGAATTATCTTTACAAAGTCTTGATTCCTGTACAGCATATCGACAAAATTACTGTCAGCAGATGGCTTCTTTTCATAGCCAGAATGTTTTTATCGTTCAAACAAAAGCTTTACAACAGCCTGACCAGAACCCAAATTGTTGCTTTCAAGATGTGCTTCTTTAATGACTCAGAAAAATATGTCCAAGACAAGGGGACATGTTCCAACATTATTTCTAACTATCATTACTACGGCTTATCCCAAGTACAGGACAATCCAGATATTTAAGTGCTACCATTATATTCTTAACTAACTTGTGACTAGGAGAGATGACAAGCATCTGTTCTAGAACTCTATCCCTTTGAGGAAAGAATATTTTGTAACAGGGTTTCTTGATCATTGAAGTAAATGGGAGAAGCATCAGAAGAGAAGCCAATTTACCTGTTCCCCATGTTTATGCTGAAAGTACCAGTATTTGAATGCTTTCCAAGCTAGGAGAAAGCAAACTATGATTTTCCTAGCAGTTAAAACAACCTGTTTTGTTAACATATCTGTCATTGCACATATATGGTAGGTAAAGGAGGTCCCATTCTGCATTGCTGCTGCTTCAAGTTGCAGGAAGATGGTAGCAGCCAGATTATTCATACTACATATTGCACTTTCAGTTGGTGGCCACAGGCAGTTATGGTAGCAGCACATGATTTAGGAAGAGACTGTAGATATAGGGACTCCATTCTGGTATCACGCTATTCCAGGACTGTGTAAATATTTCTTGATCTTTGAATGGTGTGGGGAAGGCTTCATTCCAAAAACTAACCAGTGAGGCCAGGTAAAAACTAAACAATTTCATATATAGCATTAATTAAAATTAAATGTAATTAAGATATGTCTCCAGAGACATATTTAATAAATTTCCTATTTTTGTCATACTAAAAATTACTGTTTGATAACAATGTTTTGAAGGCTTCTGAGAGTCACAAGGTTTTTTAAAGGCTTCATGTGACTTGTGGTTTTAGGTTGTATATCATGTTGCTTGCTTGATTTAGACATACTGTGCTGTGTAAACCCAGGCTTTGTACTTTGTAAATTATAGTTTATATCTTAATCTATTTTGTGAACCCAGAATATATGGTTTATTCAACAAATTCTGGTTATGCGAACCATAGTGAAACAAGGCTGACACAATGTGCATATTTTTCACCTGTTACACTGACCAAGATGTATATAAACAAACCTGAAGTTAAGAAGGCTTAGACCATTATTTTCATACAATTTAAGTAGAAACAGTATCTTCTGATCTAAAAAAAAAAATAAATGAAAGGCAGTATAAAGATGACATATATCTAGAGGAAATCAAAATTCCCAAGCCCTGGAACATTATCACATAAGTTCTGCATTGTTTCAGCACTGCAATATCAGACATTCGCCTGAAAGCACAGAGAACTCAGAGCAGAGAATAAGCACAAGTACAATTTTCAGCAGAATCCAGGACCCAACTTTATTCAGGTCACAGATCGCATGAAGTTCTTACTTGCATTCATGCAAACAGAAATACAGAGTTCCCAGCTAAAAGCACGGAGATTGGAGAGAGCTGTTTGTGTGTCCCATTCTCTCCATTTCAGGCACTCCATACATTCAGGTGTCTGACTGAACATGGCTTAAGTGAAAACTAGCAGCTCTGACACAGTAGTCTTATTCTCAGTTTCAACAGAGCTTTTATATCCTATCGCCACCTTGAATGCTAATATTTTTCTATGGAAGCATTCATCATCTAGCAACCAGAAAGTGACTTTAATATAGTTGTGAACCCACCTGAAATCCCTGTACAACTGTCGCAAGATACATTCAATATCCTCCAGGCTCAGTCCACCCCATAATACAACAACCCCCCATCCAGACACCACTATTGCTATGCCGATCACTGTACCCTTCTTTTCTCATATATTTGCTCAGTCCTAGTTCTAAAAATGCAGAACAAAAAAATGAACGATTCATTCAAGACCTTAAAGACACAAATTCTTTTTAAATTAATTTCTGATCATTTTCTTGACTGATTCAAGAACTACAGTTAAATGGTTTAAGTCAAACATGGCACAGTTGATACCCCCTCCTCATCTACATTAAGATTTTTTGTTAATAAACATCACTTTCAAGAGAAAATTTGCTTACCTGAACTGCTGAGTGTCGCACCATATGCTCCAAGCAGCACAGCAAAATGATTACTCTCACAAATTGCAGGGCAGAGTTTCACAAGAGTCAACAGGAGGTTCACTAATGCCTCTGAAAGCAAAAAGGAAAGGTGTTTTGCTCTTTCCCTCACACTAAACTCTCTATTTTTTCAGCACTTTCTTAACATGATCATGCTGCACAATAAGCTGACTGGCCAGGATCTGTTGGGATAAATAAAGCATCACAATGGCAACACACTACTGTCTTGCAGAGCTCCCATTCACATGAGTTAAGCTATATACAGAACTTTCCAGTGCCCAAAGTGGAGCCCTCCAGATGCATTCGTAACTATATGCTGGCAGGATATTCTGGGAAATGTAGTCTAAGACATCTGAAAGGCATCAGGTTGGTGAGGACTACGGCAAAGGTAGCGTTTGTTGGTAGAAAACATATTAAACCAACATTTCACAATAATCCCGCATACTTACCTTTTTTAAAGGTTAGCATAAATTTAATTTGTCCAGAACCTTCTGGGAAAACAATCTTGAGAAATCAGTAAAAAGTAATTTGCTGAGAAATGTGCAATTTTTATGAAGAAAAAGTATTTCTTACATTTATATCCTGACTTTCCTCTAAGAGCAAAGGCACTTGTATAATCATTTTTTGAAGTTCATTTAGACTGACAAATTAAGATGAATATAATAATAATTTATTAAACTTGTATGCCACCTGTGTGAGTCTATAATCATGATAGAGACAGACAATACTAGACAGATACTACTCCCAAAATACATCAGTGAGCAGCAAACAGAAAGTACAGAAAAAATGTTTACAAGTATATAAATTATACATAGGCACCAAAGAAGCCAGAAAGAAAAAGAGACCTCTTAGATGAGCATTCGTATCACTGCCTTCTTGTGATCTCAGCATTGTGGACAAAAACAGGGAATGCTGCGTGATCATCATGTAAAGCACTTCAGGTTTAGTTAATCTCTGACTAGAAGAGATTTCTTTCTGATACAATGCATTTATAGCTCCATTCAGAGTTTTCAGGAAAGCCTGGTCTTTATAACGACACCTGCATGACAACAATTAAAAAGATATTAAGTCAAAAATCAGATTGTTCTGCTAACAAACTCATGCAAAAAAGAGTTATATACCAGATGTTGATCTGCATGCTGACACTATTTTTGTGTCTTCAGAAAACAATGAATGTGCTTCAGAATTGCCTTCTCCAACCTGGAACCCTCTAGAAAGAATAAATTAAATCTCCCTGCCGATGCTGACCAATGGATAATTGTAGCTGTTATCCAACTTATCCAGTGAGCAACTGTTCCTGAACTTGGCTTTTTAGTTGTATGCAGGGCTCCCTACTGGGTTGGACCAGAACAAAAACCAAACTATTTCAATTACCTTTACATTTAATTAAAATTAAACATATTTAATATGATTACAGGTAGTCCTCGTTTAGCAACAATTGGGACCCACTGGTTGTTAAGTGAAGTGGTAACTAAGTGAAACTGAACTGTGCTCAAGATCTTACTTCAGCCGTTCTTTGCTTTATAGACCTCTGAAGGTCATAAATGCAAGGACCAGTTGTAAAGTTACTTTTTCATCACTGTTGTAACTGTGAACAGTCACTAAATGAGGCAGTTGCTAAACAAGGACTACCTGTACAATCATTTCATAACTGCCCTTCTCTGTCACATTAGCAATAACAGCTTGATAGCAATTTTTGCAGGTCTACAAAGGCTGTATCTAAGGCTTTCAGGGGCTCTGGGGTTCAGCTTTGAAGGATAACATGGTGCATCAGATATTGTTTCTTAAATTAAAAGAAATTCCATGATTACGAAGCAATCTTGCATTTAGCCAATCATTATATTTCATAAAAATAGACACCAATGCATCCAATGGCCACTTTTATAGATACGTAATCTCATATTCACATTAGTACAGAAGTGACTAATTTTAGTGGAACATATATTTTATTCAGGTTGACTGAAATAGAGTAATCTATTTCTTTATCCAATGGCTGACGAATCAGGAAACGTTCACCCTACATGCATATGATATGTGCAGAACGTGAGAGAGAGAGAGAGAG